ATACACAAGAACGTATTAGAACGCGATCTGCTAACTGTGCAATAAACAGCAACTGTGCGCTTGGGCTTCGCTGCAGTGTGGGCAACATTATAAGAATTTATTTGTTGAATAATTTAATTTCTAGACGTACAATCTTAATAAAACTTTTAGAACATAATCATAATGTTCAAATGTGTGTACATTCCAAAGCACAAGACTCTAGTACATAAAATACGCCTCTTACAAAGTGAGGGTGAGGGGGTGGATATAAAGGTGAGGGGTAAATTACAACAAAAATCGAAATTATATAAAATACATATAAGTCTACATTTAAAATTTGCAAGCTCTAGCTCTAAAGGTGTAGGAGAAATAATTAAATAACTAGCTTTCGATAAGGGTTTTAATCGATAATAAAATATCGGGAGTAGTTATCGATATATATATATAAAAAACGATATGCGCCTGATATACACGGACCTAGGAAAAAAATTTTCAAGTCCCTAGCTCTTATATTTTCTCAGATCGACGCGTTCATACATACGGACGGACAGACAGACGGACAGGGCCAAATCGACTCAGCTCGTCACACTGATCAAGAATATATATTATTTGTGGTGTCTGCCACGCCTCCTTCTACCTGTTACATACATTTCAACAAAACCATTATACCCTGATTTCCCATTGAGAATGGGTTCAGGGTATAAATAGACCAAAAATAACACACAACTATAACAAAATAAACAGACTTATGTGGAACAAAATAATATTAGAAAACTTAAACCCAATGCAAGAAAACAATAACCGTACTATAGAGAAATTAAGGCACACAGAAAATCTAAATATAGCTTTCAACTTAGCTATAAATTCTCCATCAGCCATCCCAAAAATCAAAACCCTCCCTACCAAACCAAATCCTACAATAAAACTAAGCCCACATTGCCTAGCACTAATTAAACATAGGCAAAACATCAGAAACCTCCTACGCAGGCAAATCATAAGCCTATCGACACAAATAAGAAAACAACTACGCCAATAACAATAATCCTCACATACGAAATTACTAATCAAATACAAATAAGCAACATAAAAGCCATTGAACATAAACTAAACGAAATAAACTCCTCAAAAATAAGCTCAATAAAACTCCAACACCTTAACCCACATAAACAAAACCCAACAAATATCAAATCAAAACATCAGCTTACGTGCAAAATTTCAGCATTTTAGGTTTACAACTTTAGGAGATAAAGTTTTATCCGATTTGCCACGCTCCCAAAGGGCGGAGATATATCCGCCATATCCCGTGATCTAGGGTGGTCTCACTACGCCACCTCACTTTCGGAAGCGGCTTTGCCAAAACTGAAATAGATTCACTGCTGCAGCGCCATCTAGCAAAACAAAACTAAACTAACAGCTGATGTGATTCTAAGAATCTGGTAGAATAACCAAACTATTAAAAACGCGCATTTAGTAGGGTGAAAATTTCAATTTCAGTGTATTTAAAAATATAAATTAAATAGAAAACTCATTTAACAAAATAAAAAATATTTTGAAACAATTAAAAAAATTAACAGCAGCGGCACCGATCGGGATTCGAACCGCGACTTCTCGATCGAGCGTCATGCCGCTACTCACTACGCCACTTCACTTTTGCAAGCTGTGCTTGCAAAACTCAAATAGATTCATTGCTGCAGCGCCATCTACCAAAACTAAACCAAACCAACAGCTGATGTGAATGCTCTAGAAGAAATTTGAATGTATATGTGCACACGCATGTAGCTGCCGCACGTGCACCACCATCACCACCACCTTTATAAAAGGCGTATTTCAAATTCTACAGACTTAAGCTTTGGCCAATACATGCATATCTATATTATATTCATAATCTAAAAGTTTCTTGAAGATAGTCCGTCCACAAGAAAAGTTATTAAACAATTAAGTTCCCATAGTAAGCCAACAATGCAGCTAATGCGTATTAATGCGTGCGTACGTATGTCTGTGTGTGTGCGTGTATGTGTGCATATGCGAATAATTATTAAAATATCAGTAGTCGAGCAGCCTCGACTAGAGCTTTCTTACTTGCTTTTTATTAAAATGAGTGTTCATTAACGCAAACGTTTTGGGCGAAAAATCATCTTTAATGACGATGAGCATTTTTGGATAAATCGCTGTGTTAACAAACAAAATTGCTGTATATGGGACGACCCCAATCCACACGAGGCTCACCAGGTGATAATGCATTCTCAAAAGGTTACGGTTTGGTGTGGATTTTGAGGCGTCGTCTTTGTTCCGTAATTTATACGATTCCGAGGTGGCCATTTGAATGATGTCATATTCCACACTTAATTCTATTGTCAATACCTCACACACAGCTTGTTTTATTCTATTTTAACATCTACCGGTCCTTATTAAAAACCCTATAGATAACATCCCACCATATAATGCATAAATTACACCATCAAGCCGAAGGCCCCTGAGAACTGAGAAAAAAAAAATAAAACAAGCCACAATACTTGAATTTATAATCCAGATCGCCAAATAAAATAATATTCCACAACGTTAACTCTATCGTGACACTCCGCAAATGGCACGAATTCAAAATTTTCCTACCCAAACCAAGCAAAAACCAACAAAACTTTTAGGATCGTTTACAAGACTATTTGTAAATTGCCGGAACCGCGAAATGATCCGGAAAGCGTGGCCGGGGTGGCCGAGCTATCCGGGCTTGGAGCGCAAAATTTCTTGCAGGAAACGGCGATCAGGGGCTGTAGCAGGAGGCGTCATGAAAACGCCAAGGCACGAACATTGCCAGCCGCCCAGTCCCAACTCCGGCGTATAACGCTCAGAGAGGGGCTCTCGCGGCGTCCGCTGTGTGTCGCAACTAGAGGCGTAAAACGCGGAAGCCCAAAGGACAACCCTAGAGAACAGCGAGGCCGACAACCTCTCAAACCCAGCTCTGATATATAACACTCAGAGCAAAGCCAGCGGCATCTGCCGGGTGCTGTACCGGATTGCTTGCAACTACAAAAACTAACGGCCCAGTTTAGAGAATAGCATAGCTGGCCACTGGTGTATAACACATGAAATAGGACCGCGCGGTGTCTGTCACACATCGTAACTCGAGACCTGGCCACACCTGCCCACTCAACTTCAAGAGTCACGGCTTATACACGATATTTCATTTATTTTCCTCTATTCCTACCTTCCTGGCAAGAAACGCGACACCCGCTGTAACAAAGACAACTCATCGTCAGTCTACAGCAGGAGGCAAGACTTTAAAATCGCGGCAGTGGTCGGCGTCGTATAATGCTTTTCCGTTGCTACGTCTGTTCACTGCCAGTGTTCGATCCCAAGTGACCGAGTTTTAGTTATACGCGTGGCAATGGGCTCTGTCACTGACAATACAATACAAAGACGACGCACGCAGAAGAAACTTTTTCTACGCAGAAAAAATATGCATAAAGGAGAAGACAACTTCGTATTTGCTCGGGCAGTCAAAATATGGCACGAAAAAGTCAGTGCGCTGCAGTGTTGCTAAATCAGCTTTTTTCCCGTCAAATCTGGCTTTTTTGAAAAGCCGATTGCGGGAAAAATTCCAAAACAGCGGGCAGCGTGAATTCTGAATTTTTAAAGAATAATTTACTTTATTTTCGCTTTTTTTTTTTTATTTATTTAGCGAACTTTCGTATTTTGTAGGGATAATTCGTATGAAGAATGAAGTTTTCTTCATTCTAGTTGAATTAAAACCAAATAGTTCATCAATTCAATTTTCAATGGACGAACCAAGCGGTAATAACATGGAACTGCCTAAACTAGGATATGATTTTTATTTAATTCAATATCGAACTTTTTCATTCTGTTTCTCTCTATTTAACAGAGCTTATAAAGCAATTAAAAAATGTATGCAACTATTTTGATAGCGTGTAGTACAAGAATTTATGTGTTTAATGTTGCCGACAAATTTTCAAATAGTGCAAAATGTTGATTATTTTTATGCATATATATTTTTGGAGAACATTGAAAGTATTGAACACCAATATAAGAACATTCACCCAATTCAGTAGGAAACTACGCTACAAAGTTTTGGGTTGAGAGGCGTGTTTCTAAGGATTCGATAGGAAATAAGAAATTTAGGAATTTGCTTTCTTTGCCAATGCGCAAGTGGGTAAAATTTTTCGTCAGATCAATACTGTGATGCTTAACTCAATTTCTAGCGTCAGATAAAACATTACAAAACTTCACAGAGACGGCTTGCGGTGGTTGAAGAAATGATGCCATGATTCTAAGTTGTTAAAAATATATTTATATATATCAAATGAAATGAAAGCAAAAAACATCATTTTTTTACGATTTTTTAGGCTTTTTTTTAAAGTATCTTCCCACTAAAAACAGCTTTTTTTGCTCAACAAAAATTGGCAGCACTGGTGCGCTGTGAACCGTTAATATTTGCTATTTTTTTGTTACTCTATCTCTCTCCTCTCTCTATGTGCGCACAGGCAGCCATCGGCTCCCAAAAATTTTAATTTCTTCGCGACGATCCCAATTTTCCCCTTCTGAGTGAAGAGCATAATGAAATTTTAACTATGTTTGCCACGTTCGTTAAAAATATTAGCGTTTTGATGATTTTTTGTGGGAAGGGTATGGAAGCGTTGAATTAAGAATATGATTTAGCGACGGGCATGCATGCACACACTTGCAATCCCTTGCTGTATGTATGACTATTTAGGCGCCTGTGTGCCTTGCTGCCTGTGCAAATTATAAAGTCAAAAATTAACCATTCGGACTCAGAGGCACACGATTCTATTGAGCGAAAAATGATTAAATAAATACATACATACATACATACATATGTATGAGTGCGGGTACATGAGTGCTTCGCCGAGTACATAAGTTTCTCTGCTGTACGCAAAAAAAT